TTTGCTGCGCGCTGTCGTCTAGACTACGCTGCTCGTCTTGTCACTGAGTCTGAGTCCGCCTGTCCTCCGTCCGTCGGGGGTGAGTGTGCCCTTGGCACGGACGTCTTTGAGGACAGGCAGGAGGAGTTCCAGTGTCTGGCCGCCGCTTCACCTCGTGTCGCGTCTGTACTGCTAGCCCCTGAGGGAGACCCGGATGCACCAGACATCCCGACTCCGCGCTCTTACGCGGAGGCGATAGAGGGTCCCTACTCCTCTCAGTGGCAGGCAGCTATGGATGCAGAGATGGCTTCCTGGAAGTCCACAGGCACCTACGTTGACGCTGTTCCCCCTCCTGGGGCGAACATCGTCAGTGGCATGTGGATTTTCAGGGTGAAGCGGCCGCCGGGTTCTCCGCCTGTCTTCAAGGCGCGTTACGTGGCTCGTGGCTTCAGTCAGCGGCAGGGGTTGACTACTTTCAGACCTTCTCCCCCACCCCGAAGATGACCACTCTTCGGGTTCTGCTGCACGTTGCTGCTCACCGTGACTACGAGCTGCACTCTCTCGACTTCAGCACAGCTTTCTTGCAGGGCAGCCTGCACGAGGAGATCTGGCTGCGTCGCCCACCTGGCTTCACTGGGTCTTTCCCTCCTGGTACCCAGTGGAGTCTCCGGCGTCCAGTCTACGGTCTCCGCCAGGCGCCACGTGAGTGGCACGACACACTGAGGACTACGCTCGCGGCACTTGGGTTTGCTCCTTCTACTGCCGACCCGTCGCTGTTTCTGCGCACCGACACCTCTCTGCCGCCGTTCTACATCCTCGTGTACGTCGAGGACTTGGTCTTTGCCACAGCTGACACTGCTGGACTCGCCTACGTGAAGTCCGAGCTGCAGAAGAGACACACGTGCACTGACCTGGGTGAACTGCGCAGCTACCTTGGCTTGCAGATCACCCAGGACAGAGCACGCCGCACCATTACCCTGACTCAGTCACACATGGTGCAGCAGGTCCTTCAGCGCTTCGGCTTCACGTACTCCTCGCCTCAGGCCACTCCTCTGCCTACTCGCCACTCGCTCTCAGCTCTGCCTTCGGATGAGTCCGTAGAGTCGAGTGGCCCGTTTGCAGAGCTTGTTGGCTGCCTCATGTACCTGATGACCTGCACACGACCTGACCTCGCATACCCTCTTAGCATTCTCGCACGCTTTGTTGCTCCTGGGAGACACCGACCAGAGCACATGGCTGCAGCGAAGAGGGTGTTGCGCTACTTGTGCAGTACGTCGGGCATGGGGCTAGTGCTTGGAGGGCGCAGTCCAGTGGTCCTCACTGGGCACGCAGACGCTTCTTGGGCTGACGACCAGGCTACGCAGCGGTCGTCACAGGGTTACACCTTCAGCCTTGGTTCCGGCTCTGTCTCGTGGCGGGCTACCTGCTCGTCTTCTGTTCTCGGCTCCAGTTGTGAGGCTGAGATCTACGCTGGGGCTATGGCTGCACAGGAGTTACGCTGGCTCACCTACCTGCTGACCGACCTTGGAGAGCAGCCTCGTTCTCCTCCAGTCCTGTACGTAGACAACAAGGCCATGCTGGCCTTGTGTCGAGAGCAGCGACTGGAGCACAGAACGAAGCACATTGCTCTCCGCTACTTTCTTGCTCGTGAGCTACAGCAGCGTGGACAGTTGCGACTTGCGTACGTGGCCTCTGAGGCCAACACTGCTGATGTCTTCACCAAGGCACTTGCGCCTTGTGATCATCAGCGTTGTTGCACGCAGTTGGGTCTTGTGCCTGTCTTGCCTCACTTGCTCTCCTCTTGACCTTGCTTGTACCTTCGCCTATATATACTCTTGCTCTTGCTTGCTTGACTCTTGTATATCTCTATATATGATCTTGCATGTGAACTGGCCTTCTGGCCTTTGAACTTGTGCTCGGAATGCGTGGTGACTTTGTGATCCACCCTGAGCTTTGCTTTGCTTTGCTTGACTGGTCTTGTGACCCCTTGTTCTCCCCCACTTTGCCTATGGGGGTGTGTCAGAACATATAGCTTACTTGTTTCTGTAGGCTATAGTGGGGTATCCCATAGGGGGTACAACACATTTAGGGTTTCCTATTTGTATTCACTTCACTTCATAGTCATTCATTCTCGTTCACACTTTCTCATTCTCCATGACGTGGCACCCCGAACAATGGTTGCCGAAGTGGCACCTTCGCAACATCCACACTCATAATGAGAAACTCTTTTCAAGATGTGTGAAAATATTTCTAAGTAGTTTAAAAAAGTTTCCATTTATAAGACTTATAAGACACCCAAAACCTCCCCAAATACAAGATACCGTCACCCCCCGGATATAAGCGCCACCCTAGGATAAGCGCCTGGCGCTTCTAAATGGCATATGGCGCTTATATCCCCTGCTCGATTATAAGCGCACCCCCCTGAAAAAACTTGTTTTATTATAAGCGCACGTAAACTTATTTTTTTGAAATGTGTTCAAAACGCTTTAACGGTAAACTTATTTTTTTGAAATGTGTTCAAAACGCTTTAACGATTTCTACTTTAGCAGGCAGATGTTTTGCAGATTCGGTTCCCTCCACATTCGGACCCTGCACTGGATTCGGGTCCAGTCAGCAGGAGCTTGTGAAAAACTGAACGAGAATGAATTGACTATGAACGAAGTGAGTACAAATAGGAAACCCTAATTGGGTTGTACCCCCTATGGGATACCCCACTATAGCCTACACAAATAAGTAAGCTATAATATTCTGACAGAGCTGTCATGAGCTGTCAGGAGCTGGATGTGAGTCAGATTGGGTGTACCTCCCTGCGCGCGCGAGAATTTCACAGACGACCCCAGGTAACTTCGTCTCGATTGAAAAGGCAAGCACGAGATCTACAGCATGGTGTTCAAAAATATATAAAAACATATATGTCATTTTATAAACGCCGGTGCTTATAAATTTACTCGATTATAAGCCCACCCCCCTAAAAAAACCTGCTTTATTATTGCCCCCCATGGGGGTATATCCGGGGTATGACGGTAACCCAAGCATTTTTTTTAGTGTATGAGATAAGACATATATGTCTTATATCCGGGCGATGACGGTATACCTTTTCATGTGAACTGGCCTTGTGGCCTTTTGCTTGTGCTCAGTGTGTGTGTTGACGTTGTGATCCACCCTGAGCTTGCTTTGCTTTTCTTGACTGGTCTTGTGACCTCTTGCTCTCCCCCACTTTGCCTATGGGGGTGTGTCAAACATATGTATATAAATTATATTTGTGGGTAGGCTGTAGTGGGGTAGATACTGTGGGGTATACCCCTTAGGGTTTTCTCCTTGTACCATTCTCTCGATAGTGCACATCATCCCTACCAACCTACTCTAACACTTCGCTGGTGCTTATGAGGGGAAAACCGCATTGCGGGGCGGCGTCGCTCACATAACTTGATTGTTGTGTTGTGTTTTCCCATGTTTCGCGTGATTGACAGGACATGTACAGGTACCATAATCCCCCGGATAGAAGACCCCTCCTCAATAATGTACCCGGGTCTTTAATACGGGAGGGGGGGGGGGGGGGGGGGTCTTTTATTATGGGCTGTTTGAGTTAGACCCCCCTTTTGTGGTGAAATCAGTCAAGACCCCCTTTCTAGGTATTTTTTTTGCATTCTTCGGGAAAAAAAAGGTGTAGCAATACCGAGGCGGCCTGAGACGGTGCAGTGGACGTGGTACATTTCAATCGACCCCCCCTCGAGCGCTACGCCCCAAAGAATGTGGCCAATCAGAATGCCACATTCAGATTCTAGTCTGATAATGCATGCCTCCTGCTGAAAGCGATTCGCGTGTGTCAGAATAATATATAAATCTATATATTGTTTTGTAACTGCCTGTAGTGTAGACTACTGTAGTTATACAATATTCTGTTTGGTGGTGCACCTTTCTTCTTGCCTATATGTACTGCTCGCTCTATAGTGAAATCACTCTCTTCTCTTTTCAACTTTCTCGACTCTCCTAACTCAACTACTCGAACTCAACCAAGGCTCCTAAGTCATGGCTCCTAAGCCTAACTCTTACTAGTACTTTTCACAGCGTGGGTATGGAGCATTTTTTAAACGGAGCAATCACTTCCTACATGAATGAAATTCATTACATCTGTCTTAACACATACAATATCTTGAGACCCGGGTCTTATAATTTTTGTACCATTTATATAGACCCCCCTCGTTTTTTTTTTTTAAGATCAATAGAAGACCCTAGGGTCTTTTATCCGGGGGATTACGGTACTACCGCTAATCCTGGATGTCGGCACCAAGGTACATTGTATCAGAGTCGGTACGTGTTTGTACTCTGAATGATCAGAGTACAATCCCGGAAAACTCTGAAACTTCAAAGTTAGCTTTGAAATGGCCTACGGCATCAGCAATTGATAATCTACACATTTAGTGCCATGCCAACGAAGCAAAAACTGCCCCTCCCAACTAACAGTCAGCTACCGTAATCCCGGCAGACAGCGCAAATCACGCATTGTCAATCTCAGCGTAGGTCCCCTCCCAACAAACTCTCAGGTGAATCAGATTATCAGAGTCCATCTGGGAAAAAAGCTGGAAATTCAGCCTAAGCCCCAACGTGTAGTTAGGGATCGGGACATTACTATGGCAGTTACAAGCCGCCCCTATTGTAAGTAGAAGGCCTTCAGTTTAGGTGGAAAGTATGTGAGTATGGCTCCTCTTCTTGCTCATTCTCATGCCCATGCCCATGCCCATGCTCATGCCCATGCCCATGCCCTTGCCCATGCCCATGCTCATGCTCATGCCCATGCCCATGCCCATGCTCATGCCCATGCCCTTGCCCATGCCCATGCTCATGCTCATGCCCATGCCCTTGCCCATGCCCTTGCCCCTGCTTCTGAGGTGCCTCAACAGCCACACATGGACAAAGCCCCCACTTCAGCTCATTCGGTCTACACAAGGCTCTTCTTAAAGCCCCCCCTTTCAGCTCAGGCGGTCTGCACGAGGCTCTCCTTAAAGCCCCCCCCCTTCAGCTCATGCGCTCTGCACGAGGCTCTCACGGGTGGCCCCGTCCTGCTGCTGGCTGTCCAGCGGCATGTACTGCGCCATGATGGTGCGGATCTCGGAATCCATGTAGGCCTGCAGGGCAGCCACATGCATGCACACAGAGAGAGGGTGATGAGCACACGGATGCAAGGCTTGTCTGCTGCTGGCTGTCCAGCGGCATGTACTGCGCCATGATGGTGCGGATCTTCGAGTCCATGTAGGCCTGCAGCAGGGGGTGGATGGATGCAGAGAAGTGGGGAATGAATGGAAGTAGAGCAAGGCTTGTTCGCTCTCTGCTACGTTTCACTGCTCCTCCTGTCCAGCGGCACGTACTGCGCCATGATCATGATGGTGCGGATCTCCGAATCCATGTAGGGTTTAGGGGACAGCGACGTATGCAGCAAGGAAGAGCGCAGCCACCATGAGAGCCAGCACCTTGCACCACATAGCACACGGTCGGTCAGACGCTCTTTGACTCAAATTGACTCATGTTGACTCACCCTCAGGCAGTACTTGTAGATGCCGAAGCTGATGAGAGCAGCAAATACGATTGCCAGCACCTACACCAATACAATAATTGACTCTCTTTTGACTCGTGTTGACTCGCATTGACTGGCGTTGATTCACCCTCAGCCGTTACTTGTAGATGCCGAAGCTGATGAGAGCAGCAACTACAATGGTCCGCACCTTGCAACAAGTTGATACACTGTTTGACTCACACCGACTCACGCTGACTCACGTTGACTCGCGTTGACTCACCCTCAGCCGGTACTTGTAGATGCCGAAGCTGATGAGAGCAGCGAGGATGAGCGCAGCCACCACGATGGCCAAGATCTTGCCAAACATGTGCGATGTGAAGCCGCCGTCTGGGAGGGGAGGGGAGAGGGGGCAGAGGGGGAGACATGGTGTTGGAGCAGTGGCAGTCGGGGTCCGGGGATGGGACATGGTGGACTTAAATGCACACACGCCGCACACAAAAGACACTCATCCAATACTCATCGCTCACTGATGCACGTGTCTGAGTCGCGCATGTAGACCAGTCCACCAGGGCAGGAGCAGTCAAAGGAGCAGAAGGTGTTGGAGCAGTGGCAGTCGGAGACGGGGCATAGGCAACCTTTGGACACACGCACAGGCACTGAACCCATTGCACACTGGCAACTATCACTCACTGATGCACGTGTCTGAGTCGCGCATGTAAAGCAGCCCGCCCGGGCAGGAGCAGTCGAAAGAGCCAAAGGTGTTGGAGCAGTGGCAGTCAGGGCACTTGCAGACGGTGGAGTCAGCAGCACACTCGTCCACGTCCGTGCACGTGTACCCGTCCCCCGTGAAGCCCGACGGGCAGCTGCACCCCGTGCCGAACACAGACGTGTCCTGGGGAGGGGAAGAGGGGAGAGGGGAGAGGGGAGGGGCGGGAGGGGAAGAGCAGAGAGTGGAGGGAGGGAAGGAGGCAAGGTGGGAAGGAGGGAAGGAAAAGAGGGGAAAGAATGGAGAGATGTTGATATGTGACGCTGCATTGCAAACATGTGGATCAATTCACACACCCGTACACCACCCTACTCGCACACCCCAACCCCACTCGCTCACCCCACCCGCATGCACAGCACGCCACCCCATTGCGGGCACTCACATCGCACGCAGAGAAGGTCTGGCCGCTGTGCTCCGCATTCCAGCAACCCCCGTGATTCACCCGGCACCGCCCCACGCCTTGGGCTGCAAGAGAGTCAGGAAAAAAGCACGAGGGGGAGGATGGGTTCAGCAGGAAAGGGGGCAAATGGGGATTGGAGAGAATGTACACGTCATGGTGTGTCAGTCCTCAGCAGTTTCTCAGCTCTCCTGACTAGGATCATGCAAAAAAAACATATGGCCACGTGGCAGGGTACTTCCTGCAGAAATTGCATGTCATTATTGACGTCATTAATTTCACAAATTGCATGTCATTATTGACGTCATTAATTTCACAAATTGCATGTCATTATTGACGTCATTAATTTCACAAATTGCATGTCATTATTGACGTCATTAATTTCACAAATTGCATGTCATTATTGACGTCATTAATTTCACAGATTGCATGTCAATATTGACGTCATTAATTTCACAAATTGCATGTTATGAGCAGTTTGCACTGTGGGCCGGTAACAATTGACGTGCGTATCTGCTACAGTTGGTAACCCTCTACTGTAGCATAGCTGGTAACACTCACGGGAGCATTTTTTGTAGCCGTCCCCCACATAGTTGACCCCCGAGACGGGGTCGCTGGGGCACTGGCACACCCTGCCTCTGAACGTGTCCTGTAGGGGTGAGGGGAGGGGACAGAGGTGAGGGACGCAGGGGGAGCAGGAATGAGGGAACCAAGAGCAAAGGAGGCAACAACAATGGGGGAGAAACGATGCAGCGTATGTTTTTTGAGAATTCTCAAAAAACATAGAGCGCAGACGAAGGCCATCGGCCGAAACACGCGTACTCTCAGGTTTGAATGACATTTGTTCTTACCTACTCAATCCCTACTAGCCTAAGCTCAGCCTAGACGAGATTAGAACGAGTTAAATCGCTGGATCTGGGTCAAAACTACCTTTCCATGCGGCCAGAGGTGAGGGACGCAGGGGGGAAGGAATGAGGGAAGCAAGAGCAAAGGAGGCAACATCAGTGGGTGAGAAACGGGCAGGGAGGTATTTGATTCAGGTAAGGTGGACTTGAAAAAGGAGCGGAGGAGAAAGGGGCGGGAGGGGGGGGAAGGGCCAAAGGACAGTGCGATGGGGAAAGGAGTGGGCGAGAACAGGGCGATGGGGAAAGGAGTGGGCGAAAACAAGGCGGGGATGGTGGAAGGAACCACGGTGGGCAAGGGCGAGGGAAGCAAGAGCAAGGGAGGCAAGGAGAGTGGGTGGGAACGTAGAGGGTGGGACGAGCATAAACCCTACTCTTCAATCTCCATGCGAAGAGGCGCACTGACCTTGCACGCTGTGACATTGTAGCCCGACCAGCAGCCCCCGTTGTTGGTGGCACACTCGTTCGTCTGCACGTCTGACAAATGTGCACACAGGCAGGCAGCAGAATACAGGCAGGCAGCAGAATACAGGCAGGCAGCAGAATACAGGCAGGCAGAATACAGGCAGGCAGAATACAGGCAGCAGAATCAAAGGCAAGCAGCAGAATACAAGTAGGAGAAGAGAGGGAGTGGAAGGTGGGCAGCACGTGACAGTGAAGGGAAGAGAGAGGACAGACTGTTTTGAGGTGTCTCGAATACAAAGCAGATGACTAAGAGTATGTGGGAGTAAAGCGGAGGCATAAGAAGGAAAGGAGCAACACCCAGCGCAGCAGCACCACCACCGCACAGCACCCATCCCAGCCCAGCTGCAGCACCAAGTCCCCTGGGCACCCCTTTCTTTCGCCCATTCCAATCAAGCAGAGCCCAAGCCTGCAGTTTCCGTCTCACCCCCCTCACCTGCACGCATCCCGCCCCCCTCACCTCCGCCCAGCCTATCCTGCTCTCCCCTGTCACACTCTCCCCCCCCCCCCCCCCCCCCCCCCCCCCCCCCCCCCCCCCCCCCCCCCCCCCCCCCCCCCCCCCCCCCCCCCTCACCTGCGCCCAGGCACACAGGCGGCTTAATGGCCTCCTGAAAGCCCGGTACACTTGAGCGCATAATAAAAATGTCCTCTTCACGCTCACCCTGCTCACCACACTCTCCCCCCATCCCACCCCCCCTCCCACTGCGCCCCAGGCACACTGGCGGCTCCGTGGCCTCCGCAAACCCCGAGCACACTCCTGAGGACGCCTCAGACAGCCAACTCCCCCCTCACATGCGCCCAGCCATCCCCCCTCTCCCCCTCATACTCTCCCTCCTCCCTATCATACTCTCCCCCCCCCACTCACCTGTGCCCAGGCACACAGGCGGCTCAGGGCCTCCTCAAAGCCCCAGCACACAGCTGAGTGAGACGCCTGAAAAATCGCTCTCCTCCTCACCTGCGCCCAGCCCAGCCCCCCACTCCCCTATATCACACCCCCGTCACTCACCTGCGCCCAGGCACACGGGCGGCTCAGTGGCCTCCTCAAACCCCGAGCACACAGCTCTCAGCCACGCCCATGGGATCCAGTTTGCCTGTTGGAGGAAGGGAGGAGGGGGGACGGGGAGTGTGGGGGAGAGGGATGAGGAAAGGGACGGGGATGGGGAAGGAAGAGGGAGGAGAGAGGGTGCACAAGCCATAGGCACACAGGCGGCTCAGTGGCCTCTCCAAACCCCGAGCACACAGCTCTCAGCACCCTCGTTGGGTCCAGCTTGCCTGTTGGGAGGTGGGGGGGAAGAGGTGTGGAGGAGGGGGGGAGGAATTGGACAAGTCTACGGAAAAATGAGGATACGAGTCTATGAGATTATGAGGTTTGAGGTGCCTCTTTTGAGGCGCGCCTCAGGAATTGGACAAGGCTACAGAGATATGCAGATATAAGACTATGAGCTTATGAGTTTCTGAGACGCTCCTCGCACCATCTCACCTCCCCCTTTCCCGCCACCTCCCCCCCCTCCCCCCCCCCCTGCCCCCCACCTCCCCCTGCCCCCCACCTCCCCCCTGCCTCCACATGCGCCCACCTCGGTACTGCTCGTTGTTGATCACCAGCGTCGGCTGGATGGTGACGTCACTGCGCCCATTCTTGCCCACCTGCGCATGATTGGGGGGAGGGATGGGGAGGTGGGGGGAGCGAAAGGGCAGGAAAAGGGGGGGTGAGGGCGGGAGAGAAGGGTATTATGGGAATGACAGTGTTCGGTGCAGAGATGAATTGAGCAGACGAATATCGTGACCCGACACGAGGAATGCGACGGCATGAAATGAGATGATGGCAAGACATGCATAGTAAGAAACGGGTTATGATATGACATGCCCTCTTCCCCCTTTCCCCCCTCTCTCCTTTTCCCTCCCCCTCCTCCCCCTTTCCCTTCCTCAACCCCCCACACACAAGGGCCCAGCCCAGCAAGCGCCACCCACCTGCGCGTCCTCCTGCTGCTGCAGCAGCGGGTTATCCACGTCCTGCGTGGTGAGCCCGACTCCCCCCACTCTACCATTCATTCACTACCCTCCCCGCACCCACACCCCCCCAATGCGTTCCCCCACCGCCCCCCCAATGCGTTTCCCCAACGCCCCCCCCAATGCGTTCCCCCACCGCCCCCCCAATGCGTTTCCCCCACCGCCCCCCCCAATGCGTTTCCCCACGGCCCCCCCAATGCGCCCACCTGCGCATCCTCCTGGAGCTTGCAGCAGCGGGTTATCCACGTCCTGCGTGGGATCGCCAACACAGGTGCGCACCGTGCGCACGTCAATGCCTGGCGGGGCATGGGGGGATAGGAGAGGGGCGGGAGATGGGGATGGGGGAGAGGGGAGGGTAGGTGGAGGGGGAGGGGAGTGAGACGAGGGGCAAGGGAGGGAGCGGGGCGAAGGGCGGGTGTGAAGGGGTGGAGTGGGATGGAGATGGTGTTGCATCGCATCTCACAAGACAGGGTCAGCGTCCGTCCCACTCACCCAGCGAAGTGAGAACGGTCTCGGCGCACACCGCATTGAACATCTTATCCGCCATGCTGCACCGCTTCCTGAAGTCCGTGACATAGTCCCACCACACCCACGGCTTCCCCGTGTCATTCGCCCACTTCCACACGCCACAGCTGCCGCAGATTCTCCACCAGCACATCCTTCCCATCATACCCCTCCTCGAAGTCACTCTCCGGGTCCGGAGCACAGTACCGCCCCTTGTGAATGCACTGGTTCTTGCAGGCTATCGAGTCCACCTCGTCTGGCGGGCAAGTACCACGTGATGTAGTGCGGCGTAAAGAGCGTGTATCCCCCTGCTCGAGGGTAATCGCCAGGCCCTTGAACTTATCCAGAAAGTTGGTCAGGTCGTTGCATTTCGGCCCGCAGATGTCGTTACTCGTGCCCCAGAGCTCGTACTCCACACGCTCGTCCGGGTGAGGCAGCGTCTCCCGCCAGTCCAGGTCCACCAGGACCATGTTCCCGGAGGAAAGAGCTGAGCGGATCTTGTCTCCCGGTGGCTTTCTCGATGAGCGCGGAGGGGATGGTGATGTTGTTGACGTAGCGGTCGGTGTGTCCTGGTCGTCCACAGGGGCCTCCATGGTGACGAGGGATTCTGTGTCCGTGTCTGCCACCAGGACGGCTGATGCTCCGCCCAGCTGCGCGTACCACACCTTCTGACTGAAGTAGCAGTCTGGGGGGGGGGGAAAGGGGAGGGGGCGGGGGCAGGAGGGGGTGGGGGCAGGAGGAGGGGGCGGGGGCAGAAGGAATGAGGGAGCAGGGGAGTGGGGAGGCGGGGGAATTCGGGTGAGTTGGCAGGAGGAACGGGAGTAGTGAGTGGAGGAGCAGAGGGCGCAGGGAGGGGATGGTGATGTTGTTGACATAGCTGTCGGTGTCCTGGTCGTCCACAGGGGCCTCCATTGTGACCAGCGACTCTGTGTCTGTGTCTGCTACCAGGACGGCTGATGCTCGCCCAGCTGCGCGTACCACACCTTCTGACTGAAGTAGCAGTCTGGAGAGGGGAAGGGGGAATGCGGGCAGGGGAGACGGGAGTAGAGGGGGAGACGGGAGTAGAGGGGGAGACGGGAGTAGAGGGGGAGCAGAGCGTAGCGGTGGGTGTCCTGGTCGTCCACAGGGACCTCCATGGTGACCAGGGATTCTGTATCCGTGGCCGCTACGAGCATTGCTGCCGCCCGCCCAGCTGCGCGTAGCACACCTTCTGACTGAAGTAGCAGTCTGTGAGGGGGAGCGGGGGGAAAGGAAACGGGGGGAGCGGGAGTAGTAACGAAGGATTGAGAGGAAGGCGTCTCCACGTCCTCCGCCAAAGGAAGGGGTTCCCGAGCGACTCCTTCCTCTGACGGAGAACGTGTCCTCCGAGAACGCGTTTAAGGCGCGCTGTCGTTGCCCTCCGTCTCAAAAGGCGTCTCCATGGTAGTCCCGAGCAACTCCGTGTCCGCGTCTTCCGCCCGCGCGCCTGACGCACCCGCTTTTGAGGCGCCTCAAGAGCCACCCGCGAGTTCGCGTAGCACAGCTGGAGAAAGATAACCCGCATAGAAGCGAGTGTAAACACTATGAGGATTTTGAGTGAACTCGGAACGAACGAATCTCCTCAGGCATGATAAGTTCCTCAGGAACGAGCCTAACATCGTCTACCGGCGCACAGCAACGCGAGCAGTGACCATTTCAGAGAGGCGAAACTACCAGTGGCATACGTACGTCGTGAGAGTGACATGTGAGTACCTGCTCGCTCCATACGATGGTCTTTAAAGGATTGTGAAGGACTGTAATTGAAAGTGAACTGCGTGATACGGGATTCTGTAAGAACCCCTAAGAGAACTAGAAGCTATGCGTGACCTACTAACCGAAAAAAGAAATTTATTTATGAGTGCCCTACATTGTCAACGACCATCGAAATCGTGGGTGAGTAGGAACGAATTTCGGCGGATAACAAAGTTTGTATGTTTTGAATTAAGACCATGATAACTGGGGACACAAAGAGGGGCCCAAATCTTCGGTAACCATAGGAGCAATGGTTTAAGAATCGGACGGCTACAACTTCACGCTTACGGTTTACGACGTCTCTAAGCACGACGTAGGACGCGACCTACCTCCTCGGTTCGGACCATGAGAATGGTGGGTCGTTGACCCACGCCCTTCTTAAAGGCCTCCGACTTGGATAATTTCGTGCATCCCGCCTTGTTGTTCTGTAGGTATCAATCACGCCCGTAGAGTGCCGCCGTATTGAGGCACTCCGAAGTTGGCGATTGCGCTGTCGTACGTCCCGCGAATGCTCTTTGGCTCCGTGATCTGAATGCTGTGCGTCTGCACGATGAACGACGCCCGTGCGACAGCGACCGACGAGCCGACGACAGCGAATACGAAGAGGAACGTCGCAAGTCGACGGAGAGATTCCATGGCTGCTGCGCTGTCAGAGGTAGCACGACACGAATCTAAGCACCCACGTTGCGCATTCGACGCCCTCAACGCGACACTCGAAAACGCCTAAACGGGAGCTACGTGTACGTAATCCTCGAACAGGCTGTAAATTCCCCGCACTGCACGCAAGCTGCCGTTGTCTGGGAGGGATTGTGGAACCGCAGGATGGGGAGGTAAAACGATGATGGGATTCGAGGCAGGGTCATCTGCTGCTGCTGGGTCCGCTCTTCTCTCCACTCCATCCCTTCTGCCCATATTCTAAGTGCGGGCGGGCTTCCTAGAATCGAGGTATGTCGGTGGCCTACATCTCTGGAGATTGACTAATTCTAGTTCGCACACTTAGCGGAAGGCTGGAGAGCACCCTGTGTGCTGTGCTGTCGTGTTGTGACTTGTGCTCCCCGGTACGACGGCCAGCCGTCTGGGCAGCTGTTCGCACCTACGATGGCAAGGCGAAACTTTCCCTCACTCCCCACACTCCATACCCGACTTTGCTCATTCGGGAGGTTCGATACAAGAACTGTCGTACAGATGCTTCCATACATGCTAACATTGCAAAACCTGAAACGCTGAGTGTACCAATCTATTATATTCGTTCTTATGAATAACGTGCTGTATTGGATGGAACTCGTGGTAACAATCGTGCCGCAATTGTGTGATGTGGATAGCGTCTCTGGAGAACTTGCGTGTGCCACGTCGAAAGGTCTGGGCTTGGGATCATCCACTTCCTTTGAAACGATGACGTGCCACAAGGGAAGACCTTTCATGGCTCCCCGCCACTCGCATCACGGAAACAGAACTCGTTGGGAACTGACATTGCGCGCACGGATTGGTTGGAGGCTGCTTATGTGGCGAAATGAGGAACTCAAGTCAAAGTCGAGGTGGTGTAACCCGTGTCGCTAAATGTCGCACTAAGCGCAAACATGAGCTATCGCATGGCAAATGAGTTGCGAAGCAAAAACTCTGCATTTGTTACAGTTTCGTAGACAGCACACCACATGATCCACTCCCTGAGCGACACCAAGGCAGGAAGGAACCGGGGCTCGAGGGGATGGATGCAATCCATGATCCGCAATCTGCATCTTCATTGGATGACTGCTGCCATTTCCGTGACATTGAGGCCCCCAGCCACTGGTTGGTGGGTGACCTCCCTGCTGCTCCCTCTGACTCTGTACTTGAGGTGAGGTCATTTGCTCTGTCACCATACAGCGAAACTGCTTGTCAGTTCAGGACCCTCGTTTGCAGGGAGGCCCTAAGATTTTCCGACCAGCACTTGGTCTAGAGTTTCACTTATCCCAGACCTCGTGTGCTCTAAAAGAAACTATGGCGCTCGCAAACAAGGCCGCGAACGCTGCGCTGACAGCAGGAGCTGATTCTCTTTCCTCTCTCTCGCAGCGCACGGCTGCGCCAGCGACAGCTCAGCAGCTCGCATTCGCGTCGTCCACCACATTCGGTGCCACGAAATCCACCCGCGCCAATGCCACGTCAGCAAACCGCGTGCAGCACCAGTCCAGGACGAACAAGCCTGGAAACATCCGGTGCAAGGACTACCCGAAGCCGAACTTCGATTCCGAGCCGCAGAGGGAGGATCAGCAACTCTCAGCCTCGTTTAAGAACCTTCCGCGGCCCGAGAAAGCGTTGAAGGTCGCTATCATTGGCGCCGGATTGGCCGGGCTGAGCGCGGCGAAGTATCTGGTGGATGGGGCCACATCCCCACTGTTACGAGGCGCGCCGATGTACTTGGCGGGAAGGTCGCCGCGTGGCAGGTGCGTTCAATTTGTGACTCGCTATCGTTCTTGTGATTCTTTTTCTTGATTATGAGTCCTCGTTTGTCAATACGGTCGCCAATGCTGCTAATTCATGCATTCAAGCCTCCGTTGTGGGTTGAGACGTTTCTAAATGCTGCTTTCAATATCTGACTCGGTTGGCAGGATGAGGAGGGCGACTGGTACGAGACTGGTCTCAATTTTCTTCGGAGCTACCCGAACATGATGGAGGTAAGCAAGGTATGGCGTGATGATTTGTGATGGCTGTGATGGCTGAATCTGAACAATATCGTCTGTACAGGATGCTAAAGTTGAGTCTTTATTCAGGTGGAAGCCGGGGGAACAGAGTCCTTGAACAGCTAACAATTTACAAGAGTCAGATCTCCATTGGTCAACTAGAGAAGCAGAAAGTGCCACTGCGAAATTCGCTTTCCCCCACTCCTCCTTCTCTCTGTAGCTATTCAAGGAGTTGGACATTGAAGATCGGCTGTAGCGGAAGGAGCACTCGATGATCTTCGCCATGCGATACGAGTTTTCGTCCTCACTGTGCACAATTCGTCCCCCTCCCCTCCCCCCTCCTCCACCTCCTCCCACCTCCTCCTTCCCGTTACCGCAGCTGTTCAAGGAGTTGGACATTGAAGACGGATGCTAGGGAAGAAGCACCGATGATCTTTCGCAATGCGATACGAGGTCGGGATTTTCAGGACTTACTGCGCACACTCCGTCAAATTTGTCCCCACCCCCACCTTCCCCAACCCGCGTTCCCGTTATCAGCTGTTCAAGGAGCTGGACATTGAGGACGGCTGCAGTGGAAGGAGCACTCGATGATCTTCGCCATGCCCGACAAGCCCGGAGAGTTCTCCCGCTTCGACTTCCCCGACATCCCCGCGCCCGCCACGGCGTCGTCGCCATCCTCCGCAACAACGATATGCTGACGTGGCCGGAGAAGATTCTGTTCGGGATCGGGCTTCTGCCCGATGATCCAGGTCAGCACAGCACTCCAAGAGCTGTCGGGAGCGTAACCGTCACGCTAAGGCCGTCCCGCTGCCAGTTACCTAATGGTTCGCTCTAAGATTTGAGAGATGAGAGCTGAGGGAGATGAGCGACGAACTCTGATCGATAAGAGCTAACGAGAGATAAGAGATCAGCGATGAGAGGTGAGAGACGAGGGTTGGGAGTTCTCGATGGCTTATAAGGTGTTCGCACGCACTCACACTTTTTCCATCCTTTC